CACACCCACACACTCACACCCACACCACCCACACCCTTACTATTTAATTCATGCTTTTTACAATAGAAATACCAGAAAAGATTCCATTCTGTTATGAAAGTTATGCTCATTACCAGTGTGATACAATTGTGAAAGTATCTAGGTAGTAAGAAAATTCAAAGTATAGAGTCTAATGTTCGTTTCAAAATACAATGTGCTTCACTGTTTTTTTCAATAACTCAAGTAGCGAGTAATTTAAAGAGATGCGATTTTTACCAGTCGATAGAGAAGATGTGGGAATGGTTTTTTTTTCTTCAATATTGTACAAGATGAAGTCATTTTAAAATCAACCGTTTTGTTAGAACTCATCGAAAAAATATACAAAAGTTATCTGTTGTTGAGATGAAATTTTGACAAAAGAATTAGGAAAATTTGCTAAAGAATTGAAAGAAATCTACAGTTTTCTTGCGTGTAAATAGACGACTTATTTGCTCAACATTAGGATATGGGAAGACAATTATTTGAATTATATCTTGGACTATAGATCTGAACTTTCTCTATCTAAATCACATGCTAAAACTAAAATTTCATAGGAATGACAGATTATTTCCATGTACTTCTTATATATTTCTTTTGCAGAAATGACTGATTTTAAAATTATCTCATCTTGCACAGTATTGAAGAAAAGAACGTACCCCGGCTGTGGGTGGGTGTGGGTGCGGGTATCTACAATATCTGTTCTGTGCTGTAAACCCCACACCAACGCACCACAGGCACACCCGCACCCACACCCACACCCACGCCCACACGCACACGCACACGCACACCCCACCCACACCCAAATCTATCAGAAGATTGCCATTAGCATCGATCTGAATTTATGAGAAAAGAGTTCGAATGAGCACACTAGAATTTGACTTTTAGAAACTAAAGACAATGAGCGGAGAAATGCGCAAATCTGCTCCATGCCACTTATTTCCAATGTGTTTATGGCATTCTCGGATAGTTAGTATTCTTCTCGATCTGAATTGTATACACTTTTAAATCAAATTTACTGATCAAAGAAAGGATATCAGGTCAGTCAAGTTTGTAATTAAAGAGAGAAACGAATAAAATCAGTTTAATTCTGTGTCATTCCATTTTGGTTCATAGTCACTTGGCAAAGCATTGACTTTAGGATACAGCTTTGAGTCATAATGATCGTTGTCAACCATACCGTTTTCTTTGTAATGACAAAGCAGCACACGACGAACCACCATCCAAGCTCGACGTTGATCAGCAGGTGGAATTCTTTCATTGCAGGCTGTTCCGGCATGTGATTGAGCGTTCAAGTTATTGTACCACTCTGGATGGTACAAATGATAATACTTTTGAAGCGGAAATACTTCTTCATCATCGGCAAGCATCATCGAACATGTTTTCCATCCTTGATAACACAGTGCTAGAGCCGGTGTATGGAGTGTATAAAATCGTATCCCATGAAACGCCTGAGCCAAGTGGTACGTAGTTTCGTGAGAACTAACACGTACACTTAGAGGTTTTTTGCACTTGCATCGACCTGGTCGACATTGACACTCGTGCCACGGCTGAAATGGTTCTTCATCGTGTGGTTCCGGTCGACTGCACTTGGCTCCACAACCTGGGCAACAACTTTGACATCCCAGGCGTCGCGATAATCGGATTTTGCATCCGACCAAAGCATCTTTTTTGATATTTTGTGTCAAAATGGCTACTCTTTCCCGAATATTAGCACTTTGTAAGAGAATTTTTTTGAAACCGCGTCTGAAGTTATCAATATTTTGAATTGGCAGAGACATTACTGCATTTAAAGCAAATTTTTTTTCTGCTGATCCTGCAAATAAAGCCATCCCGAGGATACTTCGCTCGATGGAGTCGGCAATCAGTCGTATATTATCATCTTCACTCGCCTGAACAATATCATTGCAGTTCGCAATAACACTAAGGATCATATGTTCAGCATTCAGCATGTGTGTGTGTATGATAGTCACAAGCGATGTGTTTATTTCGCGTAGACTCAATTCAAGAAAGAATCTGTTGATGTCCAATACATATTTCAAGATCTTCTCGCCATTCGCTTGAACGATGCTTTCTTCATATGCCTGGCGTTGTATAGCATCATGATTAATGAATTGACTTTTTACGATGTCAGCTGTCACATCATGAAGAATCTTGTCAAGTAAAACTCGACCGACTTCTTCGAAGATTTCTTCCGCTACTATAGCAGCCATATTTTTGCCTTGTTCAAACGAATCTTGCATAGACTGAATTTGCGTGTTGATAGCTTCCTTCCAATTGGCTAAATCGTTTTGTGCTTTTTCTAATTCAAGCCTTTGGCGTTGTTGCTCGATTTTGACGGCTTCGTCAATGAGCATTTTCAGTGCAATCAATGACACATCTGACACAAAGTTGCATCGTGCCAAATGTCGATGGTTTCGTTTGATCACATCCGCGTTTATTAATTTTTCAACCAAATCAATCATATGAGTGATCACACGTGCATCAGACGACGACTGAAAACGTTCGCACATTAACTTGCTAATATCTATGCGTAATTGAGGCAAAAGCTCGACAAAAATAGATGATAGAAGTTTTTTGTTTTTGTAATTGTTGTGTGGGTCATAGAACCACCACCACACTTCATCGTGAAGATGCTGCCATAGTTCCTCGGCATATTCGTCCGGGGGGTTTCCGAGAAAAATCTTTTTGAAAGCTCTAACAATTGGATTACTCGTATTAGCCTCTTGAGGTTCTCGCTTCACCATACATTCCCAGGTACCGTCAAATCGTTGGCACAGCTTTTGAAATTCATGTATCTCGAATAAAGGAAGCAAGTTATAAATGCTACCGTATCGAATATTGGCCGTTTTGCTTTGTACAGTTGCATTATAAAACTTAAGAATTTTATTAACAATTTGTTCAGGATTTTCATATTCCGGCCGTGCTGTCCGATTACATGCTTCAAGTTCGGTGGTATAAGCTGTTTCAATACGTATTTTCAATTCTTCGATGGGTAAATTCGTGTTTTGATCGAATTCTGATTGGACAGCATCTATTAGACGTCGTTGTGCGCTAGAAATACGAGCATCACGACGAGCTTTATGAAGGCGCTCACCAAACTCATCTCGTAACATCACTTGTGTGTAAGTAATTGGCGGTTCAATCATTTTCTCCACTTTATGTTTGAGTTCGAGTGGAAAGCAAGTGCGTTCTGTTTTCGAATGAAATTCGACAACAGCATTTTCAGTAATTTTCTGGTGAGTTCTTTGCAAGGCAATGTTGAACTGTTCGATGAAATAAGTAGCGTTGAAGTCTGATTGATTTTCTGGTGTAATGGAAGCCAGAACACGATCGATATGTTGCTGACCTTCTTGGGTCACCTTATTCACACAATCGACAATAATTTCATTGGCAATATCACGCAGTTCATTCATTACTGATAGTTCATACAGAGTTTTACACGCTAAGAGATTGGGTCCCAACTTATCAATGGCATTCCAGTTGCACACACTCTTCTGGTATAAATGGGGGATATCCATATAAGCTTGGAGATTAACATTAGCCAGACTTTCGAAGATCATTTTACGCAATTCAAGTATCTTCATGGGAAACGTGCGGTTGCGCCATGTCTGTTCTATGCCCAGTGAAGGATTGGTATCACTAGAAAACGCATTTGGTAGGAGAACGACATTTTGATCATTGATTTCCAGTTCATCGTCAATCGATGACTTCAGAAATTTGCTGTTGTTGTACAAATTTTCCTTGAATTTTGATAGTTGGCGAAAGAAAACTCCTGTACTAAGTGTATCCGATTGATCGCGCAGGATGAAAAGCAGTTTGGGTCTTAGTGGCGAGCGAATTTGAAGTTTTGCATAGAAACTCATGCCAATGAGGTGTTCAAGGTTTGAGCTAAATTCGCCCTTATGATTAATAAGCACGATATGCGACGAGAGCATTGCCATTGATACCATTTGATTATCAAAGATTGAGCCTGATTCTTCAAGAGATAACAAGCCCTCAGTATCAAAAATGACGATGGTATTATCTCGCCATCGAACTATGCTTAAATACATGCCAATCGTGCACCGTCCAGGGCTTACACGAAAATTGCAGCCGAAGATGGAGTTTAGTAGAGATGATTTGGCCGATGATTGCTCGCCAATCACAGTTAATACAAGAGGTGTCTTGGTTGTTGTTTGTTGAACATAACGAAGTGACTCTTGCATCAGTTTGCTGTGACATCGAAGAGGACGACCTCGTAAAATGTGAAAAGAAAAGCCTTTGTACATTAGTTCAGAGAATTTTTGTGCTAATCGGCCGACTAAATTGTTAACATCAAATAGTTTCGGATAATGATCATAGACAGCTAAGATTTCATCACAGAATAATCCGATGGTCAAGTCAATATTGGCGAGTTGATCTTCAATATCATGAATCAGCTTTTGACGACTCTTATATTCGTTCTTCATTAGTTGCACTTGATTGAGAACATTCTCCAGTTCAGCTTCATTTTTTTGCTCGATTTCATGCTGAGCTTGTTCTTCAAGTTGTTTAATACGAGACAAATGAGTCATGGCCTCATTCTTGACTAATGTCATTTTCTTGAGCAACATCGGTTCGAACTGAACTCTCCATTGGTCTAAATATTTTTCTGTAATCAATAGTTCAACGTATGGTCGGTTGGTGAGCAGTGTTATAAAAAAATCAGCATAGTGGGGAATTCGATCTATTTTTTCATACTCTTGTCGAAACTGTTCTAATTGTGCTTGAATATTATCCAAGGATTCATGCCACTGAGCTGACAGCTCTTTTTCACATTTTAGAATGACTTCGTCAAGGTAACTAATGGGGGTCATGAGACGCAAATTTTCGGTCTTGTCATTGAGATGACCAAAGAGAATATTCAGTTGCGAAAGAATTGTTATATTAGATAATGGCGCAGGGCATGCATTAGTGCCTGATTTGATAGCAAGATAATAAGCCTGAACAGTAAAGATCGATTCACAATGAGACTGATCTTCAATACTGACTTGGAGTCGATGGAAACACTCCGCAAATGACTGTCGTAAACGTTGTGCTCGTCGTGCATCATTGAAAAAAGAGTTTGTCGATATCGTTTTCAGAATCGGTGCTGTCATAAAAACTAGGTTTGGCCACTGGTCTCTTTGAAACTGCATTTGAAAGTCTTGTATGATTTTCGTCGGAGTGTGATTCTTGTTATTATAGTTCGGGTCGAAAATTACGACAATTGTTGGTTTGGCTCGGGTTTCCGCTGAGTAATTGAGGGTGAGACTGAGAAACTTATTTTGGTGCAAGTCGGTCACGGTCACGCACAGAATTTGTATGGAGCAATAATGTTGAATAGCCGTTATCAAATCTTCATTTAATGTGCTCATCGTCCCGTGAACATCAAACACTACGTATGAACAACTGTTTTCCAGTGCCCCAAATATAGTATCGACGCAGCCCAGTCGCAATTCCCTACTACTATCAACATTCAAGGAATCACTTCGTTTGTCATGGAAAATATAAGGAATTAGACTTGTTTTACCTAAACCCATAGCTGATGGGCTACCCATTAGAAGCATGAATCGATCATGCGTGAAACAAACCGATTCGGCAAGAGTATTGAAGTTAATTTTGAATTCATTTGGGGTATAAAAAGCTAAAGGAATAGGTAAATCATTTTTTCGAATCATATTTCCAAGGAAGCGTTGGCTGTCAAACGAGAGTGATTCGATAGTACATACAAGCAGCATATGTTTGCTGATTTGGTCAATAATATCGAGGAACGAATCAGTTTCTGCTGTTGGCAAATCGATACATAAAGACAATGCGTGCATAACATCGGATAAGCTGTGAAAGCGTTTAAGACTGTCGATCACATAAGGTTTGAGACAGTGATATTGACGAACGTTCTGAATAAGAACAGAAGCATCGATTGGTTCATCTACAAGTGCATAAAAAGAGGTGTCGAGCTGCTCTTTTTCTCCTGGTAGTGAGCACATGTATCTGAATGACTTTGAAAGAAGATCATATGCTTCAGAACTGAGCACATGAGGGGTAATCAGTGTGTTATGAATAGCATTGAATGGTTGAATGAGCTGAGCAATGTCAAGTGCAATGGTGTGTCGTTTAGTTTCATTCCATTTACAAGTTGCTTTCGAACCCACTCGAGCTAAATTCGACGTCACTTCAGACTTTATATATTGGAATTTTCAGAAATCACTTACGCGAAAGTAGTGGCTCCCGTTGAATATTAATACAGACAGAATTCGAATCGATCGTTTGCAACTGCGACTAAAATGAAATTTTACAAAGATCATATATCTCTGATTGTAATTAAACAATGTGTCTAACTTCAGTTGTAGGCTTTGAAGTTTCCAGCATGACAGCACTGCTTGTGGGATTTGCAATCGATGATCGAATTGTTTCTCTAAATACCCAATCTTTTAACATAGAAGAGTACCATGTCAAGGAACTGACCTTAATTTCTTCCTCTCGCCATTGAACAATACCCTTTGTTTGAAATTTGGGATAAGCTCTTTGATCATATTGTCATCGAATCCATCACTCATCAGCACGCTTCCATCCACTTCGTTTTCTATTATAACAGATACAATTAAAAATATTTTTCTCAGAACTGGACTGACCCTGAAATACCGTAGCAAATTGTTCCAAGTGGCATTTCCGTAACCATGCAATCACATCGACTGTTGACCACATTGACAGATCGCTCGAACAGGCCATTTCTTCTATGAAATGTTTTTACTTTTTCCACTCGAATGCTATTTCAATGATAAACAAAACTTACGTGTGAGAGATGAAACTTCCAATGTTTTTTGCGCAGCTGTTGCGCTGTCAGCTGTGTTTATGCTAGCAGCTTTCATTGACAGTGATTTACGACTTTTCTTGTCTGAAGTGAGATTTGTTTGAGAATGAGATTTTCGGTACCTGAGATGTCTAGCTCGAAATGAAATATGGATCGAACCCGATAGATTCGTTTCTTTTACGAAAGAAGTCTTGATACGGAGAAAATTTTGCCTGAGGAGGGAACTACTCCAGATAACTTTCTCCGTTTGAACACCTTTTGGATCCACGAGTAAGTCTTTATCAGATTGACAACAGCTTAAAAGCGTTCGTCTCAGGCTCAGAGGAGAAAAGCGAAAATGTTGTACTTCCTTGTCAGGGTTGCCAGATCAAAAACTTGAAAATCAGAAATTTTTTTCAAAATCAGAAAACGGTCAGAAATTTTTCTTGCAAAAACACAAATAAAGCAGAAAGGGCAATTTTTTGCAAACCAGTGGCCATTATGTTAACATACTGATATTCAGTGGTCTGCTAGGAGTCTGTTCATTAACTGATACTTTATTTTCGAAGATATTTCACGATGGAGAAAGGCAATACACTAAAAATATTGTTTAGCTTATCCAAAAGCCCAATAAAAGACACTTAGTGTCGGATTCTTTCGCTGGAATCAAAACTCATTCATAAAGTACCAAAATAAACATCATATATACATATATACTATGCCGGTTAAGAGATCCTACGAAATAAAAAAATAAGTTTAAATCACATGATTCGATATTGTTATTCACATTTTCCATTTTTTCGACTTTGTCTTAACAAGTGTATTTGAGTCAAAACATTTTTATAAAATTACCCATAGGAATAATGAGAATTCATTCTTACTTTAAGTTCAGCACTGACTAATTTCGTATCCATTCGACTACGATAATCTGACCACAAATGCTTCATGTGGCTGAAATTGACTTCACAAAAAAAATTCAGAAATTGGAAAAAATCAGGAAAAAGTACCAAAATCAGAAAAAATCAGAAGGGCAGAAGAAAATCAGAAAGAGATTCAAATTTCAGAAACTTTTCTGACTTTTCAGAAGATCTGGCAACCCTGTCCCATGTACTCCGACGTACTTTTAAGATAAGCTACAACTATCTTGAGATTCTTTTAGTTATTTAAAGTCTACTATCGATCTGTGTTACAGTGCACCAGCTACAGTATACTCTAAAAAAAGGTAACGTTATATTAGTGAACATTAAAAACGGCGAAAAAGGTTCGGCAGAGCTACGAAACCTTTTTAGGCTCTTTCCATGGACACAAACTCGAAACTCTTTATACGGAACCTTTTTCGGTTCCGTACAAAACCTT